ATATCTCAAGCTAATAAGCATTAGCACTAATGATTGTGTTAGGTGTTTTCATTATATCGCCAATAGTCAAATTCAGTTCTTGACCGGTTCCAGTTCCATAATAATTGCCTGTAAACGTTGCAAAAGACTGCGAGCTGAATCCAAAAGTTCCTCCACATTGTGCCTTTCTGCCATCTCTACAAATTCATGTTTCGTTTTTTGTTTAGTTTGAAATCAGTGGGAAAAAAAAACAATTTATAGCAAGTAGAATCAGACATACAAAACAATGACAGTTATTAAAGTTCTTAAAATTTCTCGCGACAATAAATCAAATTACTGATATTAAGATTGCTAATTTACAGCTTTATTGAAAAGCTATTTCTTCGTCAATGAATGTTTAATAAAATATTTAATAAATCCTTCTACAAACCGTTATAAAATTTGATAACATCAGTGAAATCCATTCGATTGTCAATAATTATATGACGATATGCGATGATCATTGCCAAGGCAAAGAATAAATGGAAATGAGTGGTGACCAATGAGGATGCTGCCCAAATTACTTCCCAAACACGGAATACTTCTGGATAGGTGAATTCTGAAAGCAAATATATCATAAAATTATTATAACAAGTTTTAATTAGCCATCCATCCATATGTTTCCTATTTATCTCTTTATTTATTAAATAATTCATTTGTAAGTTTAACAAATGATAATCCATTAAGAACTAAGTTTTGTAACTTGATTCTACAAATAAATAGAGCGAAACCTCTCTTGAAGTCAAGCAAGAACCATCGATAAGTAAAAGAAAGATGTGTTGCATCTCCCTTTTCAGCTATATATTCGAAAAATTCTGGATCCATCACCTGAAACAGAAATGGTCAATTCCAAGACGGTCAATAGGTCATAGTAGTTCAGGAAAAAAAAAGACAAACAAACAAGCATAACGTTTACTAGAGAGAAAAGAAAGAGAAACCTGTAGAAGAGAATTCATATAAGCCAGATTATCGTCCATTCCAGTTCTCTGCGGGAAATTTTTCTTCATTCGGAACATCAACCGATCAAAACATGCTAGTACCAATGGTTCTGTAATGATTACATATCAGAGATTCTCAACACCTAATAATCAACTTTTTAGTTTTCCTTTTAATAAGAACATTCATCTTTTCATACAATCCGGTTACTGAAAAAATCCGGTCTTTGTATGCAGTATGTTTTCTACCGAATATGCAACAACTGTCATATTAATTTATGTGTTGGAATACTTTTACAAAGCATTTAAACAGTACATATTGGACTTTTCAAGTTGTTATCTACCGTAGTTATCTGCACACAAATAATTACATCTGTAGCAAAAATATTTATTTGTTAGGTAATTGAACCTACCATCATCGAGGATGACCAGTAATGGAGCAGCCAAATCACACATTCCCTGCGTGTAACCTTCGTTTAAATTCCGCCAAACATACGTACACATTACTGTTTTCAACTTTTGCAAATTTTCTTTTTTGGCGAAATAAGCCGAACTTCGATCACAACGTTCCACATCTTTCTCAATTCGGTGCAAATTGGCACTGAATTTTGACATTAAATCCTCCTAAAACAAACCTACGTAAAGCAGATACTTTTGAAAAAGCAACGCATCGTCTAGAAAAACTGCATTTGAAAAGGTCAAGTACAAAGATCAGTCACTGTGTTATCATATCAATGATGTGAGTCTACCTCTTCGTTATCCTTCTGACCTATGGGTAGTTCGCTACTTTCCTCAAATACTTCATTGCTCAAGGATGGTCCTTGGAATGATACATTGGATTCAGCGTTACACGTATGATATCGAAGTCGGGCTAGAAATACATTCCTTCACTGAAATTAATTCTACGCAAATTAGAATTCCAACTTTGTCGTTTTAACTTCCTCTCAGCAATGCTCTAATCACTTTATCACCTTACTTAATCACTTTTGTGATCGGATGGATTTTATAAAATAGATTTTTATATTCGCATTGTATGAAACATAAAATTTAAGCTTAGCTTAGAAAAGATTAAATCCACAAAATATTTTACGTCTTTTGTTTTTCCTACTCTTCTCCCTCTCAAATCCATTCTTAAGAAATAGTCTTTTCAGATTTATTTGGAAAAAAGTAAAGCCCGTTAACCGGCTACGAATGCTTCTTGATCACGTTCACGAACAATTTTCTCCATTTTTTCCCATTCTACTACATCGTTGTAGTACTTCGCACGATACGTATTCTTAAGCTGCTCGAAATCTTGGGTCCAATTCACTAGGCCTAATAGATATGGCCAAACCTTACGTCTAAGCATGAAAGGTTCATTTCCGTTGATACCAAATCGATACGTTCTCGACAGGAATTCTTTTTCCATTTTCTCCTGACACATTAACACATTTGCAAATCAATTCATAGCAATCAGAAAAGAAAACCTTAAGTACAGCAAAGAGCAAAAGTACTAACAGATTTCAAATTCCGGCACTCTCTCCAGAAATCCTCGTTAACCGGACCGGTTGTTTCCTCTATTATTACTTTCGAATCCACCAAACACGACAGATGATTTCGAATGGTGCGTAAATGACCGCAATATGCTAGCCCTATAAATGATTTGTCCTTCATTAGGAATGGCATAATATTCATATGTCCACAAAATTTGTTTACCGGTACAAGCTTAGAGATAAATTAACAATTGATAAAACAAAGAAAAGAAATATGACAGACAGCTTAATGATGGTAATTAGAATTGAGACAGTAACTGGACAGTGAAATAGATGTACTACAAAACGAGCTAATTAAGGGAATTTTGAAAGTCAAAAAAAAAATCTCCAGCCATCTCACTCTGATCTCTCCTTCGGTATCCTTCTATATCTTGGCTACATTCTTGAAAATTTGCATCAGATGCCGAAGTTTTGAATACTGTGGAAGAAAGGAACCCTTCTCTCAAAATTGCTAATGAATTTTTAACCGTTTATTCAACTTCACCCGGACTCAAGCAGTTCAAAACTTCATCTTCCTTAGGTATGTTTAATTTTTTTAATGATAGAAGGAAAAGTGTAAATGCACGAGAATTTCCATGAAATGCTCTCTTGTTATAGAGCATTCATCTCTGTTGTTGTAGACGTTTGCTCGTTTGACTCATGTGGGTTGACATTTTAACTATGGGTTTCTTTGCGTGTACCTTACCGTACCTTTATTATTATAGAACACCTTTCTGCTACTGTTGAAGTCATTTATGGTGTGGTGTGAGATACTTGCATCTCAAATTAGGTTAAAATTTACTCAATTTCAGTCATGCTCAATTTACTCAACCTCAGTCATGCTCAATTTACTCAATCTCAGTCAATTAGATTAAAATTTACTCAGTCTCAGTCAATGGTATATGTTAGG